TTTGGGATGCCAGAGGTGCAGGCAGAAACTGGGAAGGTTCAGGAGCTGAGGAGGAAGGAGGGAAATTGGGAAGAGCCAGGAATGAGTTGGAATCACCTCCTTTAGGGAACTCATCCTGTCCTGCCCTGTCCAGCCAGGTCTGGCTCAGAGGGAACATCCTGAAAGGGCACAGATGGCTCTGGGCAGCGGGCACCGTGCAGGATCCAGGGAATTTTCATCCGTTCAGCACAGCCACAGCGGGGTTTGGGGCTGGCTGAGCTCGGGAAGTGATGGAGAATCCCAAAATCATGGCAGGAATGGGGCTGTGCCACTGCTTGGGGGTCTGAGCTTGGGAATCATCAGAGAATCCCAAAATCATGGCAGGAATGGGGCTGTGCCACTGCTCAGGGAGCTGAGCTCGGAAAGTGCTGGAGAATCCCAAAATCATGGCAGGAACAGGGCTGTGCCACTGCTCGGGGGGCTGAGCTTGGGAACTGCCAGAGAATCCCAAAATCATGGCAGGAACGGGGCTGAGCTCAAAAAGCACCAGAGAATCCCAAAATCCCATCAGAGGCTGCTCCTTTGCTCAGGGAGCTGAGCTTGGGAATCGTCAGAGAATCCCAAAATCACATCAGGAATAGGGCTGTGCTACTGCTCAGGGGGCTGAGCTCAAAAAAACACCAGAGAATCCCAAAATTACATCAGGAGCTGCTCCACTGCTCAGGGAGCTAAGCTTGGGAATCGCCAGAGAATCCCAAAATGACATCAGGAGCTGCTCCTCTGCTCTGGGAGCTGAGCTTGGAAAGTGCCAGAGAATCCCAAAATCACATCAGGAATGGGGCTGCTCTGCTGCTTAGGGGGCTGAGCTCAAAAAGCACCAGAGAATCCCAAAATCACATCAGGAGCTGTTGCACTGCTCGGGGGGCTGAGCTTGGAAAGTGCCGAAGAATCCCAAAATCACATCAGGAGCGGGGCTGCTCTGCTGCTTGGGTGACTGAGCTTGGGAAGTGCCGGAGAATCCTTAAATCATGGCATGAATGGGGCTGTGCCACTGCTTGGGGGGCTGAGATCGGGAACCACCAGAGAATCCCAAAATTACATCAGAAGCTGTTGCACTGCTCGGGGGACTGAGCTCAGAAAGTGCCAGAGAATCCCAAAATCCCATCAGGAATGGGGCTGCTCAGCTGTTCAAGGCCTGAGCTCAGAAAGCACCAGAGAATCCCAAAATCACATCAGGAGTCGGGCTGTGCCACTGCTTGGGGGCTGAGCTCAGGAATCATGAGAGAATCCCTAAATCATGGCAGGAATGGGGCTGAGCTCAAAAAGCACCAGAGAATCCCAAAATCACATCAGAGGCTGCTCCTCTGCTCAGGGAGCTGAGCTTGGGAACCGCCAGAGATTCCCAAAATCACATCAGGAGTGGGGCTGTGCCACTGCTTGGGGGGCTGAGCTCAGGAATCGCCAGAGAATCCCAAAATC